GACCTCAGGGACCCCACATCATTCTCAAGACCAGGGGACCGCTCCAGGGCTATGCCGAGGTGTATGGTTTCAACTCTGTTTGTTTATCCATCCCTGTTTTCAACTATTACTTTAGGGCAGGGGTCCTCAAACTTTTTAAACAGGGGGCCAGTTTACTGAACAAATTCCTATGCACACTGCACATATCTTATTTTGAATTAAAAAAACAAATGGGCAAAAACACCCGGCGGCCGGATAAATGTCCTCAGTGGGCCGCATGTGGCCCACGGGCCGTAATTTGAGGACCCCTGCTTTAGGCTGTTGTGCCCGCAGACTACCGAACTAACCATCGTGAGATGCTATGGATTAAAGGAAGCCCAGGCTCTTGCCACCTACCTTTACCATAATCGGCTCCCTTTCCTGGCAACTGATTACCACCCCCATCAGTTCCCGCCAAGCAAGGCTCACTGTCCGTTTGGCACGGGCCCGGCTCACCATGCAGCATGCAGCGAGGCGGGGGAGAGGGGAACGTTCTCCCCTGGTTGGCTTACCTATGTCTGAAATCTTTATTTCTGACAGAAGACAGGAGAGCAGGGAATAGAAGAGAGAAAGAGGGGTTAGCAGCATTATTAGCAGTCTGAAAACCTGACAGCGATGGTCGGGCACAACACGATGATAAATCGAGACTTAGCAGCGATGATGCGGATAGGTTTTGTGTCGGACGGTCCTTGCCAGCGAGCTCCCGTACAACCAGCCCGTGGCACAGAAGGGGCCTGGTTGCGCCTGCACACGATGGCTGGCTGGGGGGGACAAGGACGAGGCTGACACCCCCCCCCTGCTTTCACTGGCTCTAACAGTGGGTCTTCTTCGGTACACAGACCGTCGACTAGAGACACATGCTCAGTGCTGTGTCTGCCTGCTGCACCCCCTCCAGAAGAGTTACTGAAACTTAGGCTGAGTCGGCTCACAATCACATACAGAATTAGAGATTTACTCTAATTGGGAGGGAGTAGGTGGCAAAGAAACAGGGCTGGGGCGCTGTGGGGGGGTGGTGGTGTTATTCATGAGGAAAGACATCAAAGTGATAAGACATCAGTACTTTGATTACTGTGATTTTCTTTCCGAGTTTCCCTCCTCACTGTTTCTCGGGTGCTCCCCGAACTCGGAAGCTGTGGACCCGGCGGCCTGGAGAGGGAAGGGACTAATCCAGAGTCCCAGAGCGTCTCTGACAGTGAGACTTCTGAGCCCCTCCTGAGCAGGGGATGGAGAGAGCCTACAGGCATCTGGCAGAAGCCCGTCCCCTCAAGGGGTCCCTCCACCTTTGACAGACGCCTCTATCCTACGAGACAGAGAATACTCCACGGGTGGCCTGGGCGCCGAGGAGCCTGGTAGCTGATTTCCTCGGACCTTTGATTCTTCTCATGGCCAGATCCCACTCTGGGGTTTGCGAGTGATGCTAACGCTGTGTCTGTGGGTGAATGCCCACTCTGTTTTTTTTAAGGACCATGAAGGCTGTTGGCAACCAGTTAGCATCACTCTCCTTTCAGATGGGTCCTGCAGGGTCTAGCGGGCGAGATTCCTTCAGCGGGCACTTAGCTCAGGGGCACAGCCTAGGAGGCACTCAACCAGAGTGGACGGCACAGGGCTAAGTGGGGCTTCTTTGTTGAGGCAGCTCTGTGGGCCTGGGTCTGTCATTTCTGAAGCGGAACCTGGGGTCGGTTTTTTTTTTAGTTCCCTGGGCTTGCTTTTCCTCATGTGTCAAAAGAAATAACTATGACCACGTCACCGAGCGGTTTCGCTTGGCAGACTGTAAGAGCCCAGCAAGGGCGAGTCTCCTTTCCCTCCTCCCTACGTTGGAGACAGTCCTTCCAGCTCAAGGACCTGCCGGGTGCTCACACGGACCCTGCTGAGAAGACCCCGTGGACCTCTGATCCCTAGGAAAGGGAGAGCAGGGTCTCTCTATTTCCAAAACACAGTTTTCTCTAGAAGCCAGGCTCTGCGACAGTGGCCTGGTTCTAGTGAGCCCTGGCTCAGGCAGGCAGAGAAGAAAGTCACCGTGGCAGGCCCTTCCCTGCGCTGCAGGCCGGGCTGTGCTGCAGGCTCTCAGGGCAGGCCGAGGGAAGAGATGTGACACAGCCGGCTCTGAGCACCCTCAGGTCCTTTTAGCCTGGGGACCCATCTCAGGAGGAAAGAACACACGGAACACATGTTGAGTAATGGCCAGATATGATAAAGCCTCTACTGACCGTGTCCACTGTGCTAGCTTCTGTCCTTAGGAAAAGACTCACATGACTAACGCAGATCATGTGAGGTGCCAGGAAACAAAAGGATGATTTGATGGCTTCCAAGAACTCGAATTCCCGGCTGCTAGCAGCTGTCCACATGCTCTGGGTGGCCAGGGCATATCCTTGTCCCAACCATGACTTTGTTTTCCTCCCAGTGCCCTGTGGGAAGCATGCCTGCTTCCCTGGAGCCCATGCTTCCGATTTGACCTCTGAACTGGGAAGTGAAAGGGCCCAGAGTCTGGCAGATGCGGCTCTGTTTTGCCCCATGTCTCTGGGCTCAGTGGGAAGTGCCAGTTGGGTCCTAAGGATGACAGGGGGGATGTTCGTAGGACCTGTGAGGAAGGGGGTCTCTTACATACCTCAACTCCAGGATGTTGGTGACGTTCCCAGAGGGGAAGATCCTGCGAATGTAGTTGAAATCCCCCACATAGAGGCTCCCGTCAGAGCCACAGGTGAGGGCCACAGGGGCCAGGAGCTTGTTGCCGTCGGCAAGGCCATTGCAGCTGGGGCAGGAGATGCTTCTCCGGCGCCCATTGCCCATGATGCTCCCAATGACAGGTGGCTGCTGGGACACAAACTGGTTCTCCCCGTTCCCTTTGTGCAGGATGCCTGGGAAAGCCAAAAGAACACAAGTGCTGATGGAGCAGCGAACTGCTGACCACAGGCCCACTGGATTTTGCTAGGTATGTGTGAGCTCTGCTTACCACCCCAGTCTCACCGCTCAAGGCTCTGCCCACCCCCAGGTGAGACCCAACATTTCCTCAATGGGTCATGCGATTTTATTGATGTCATTTTCACAACAGCTCTGTAGTAGAGGCACTAATATTATGTCTGTTTTAATAGGTGGGGAGCAGGGGGGTAAATGGGAATCCAGGTCCTTCACCAATAAGCTACTGTACTTCTCAGGCAAGCTGTGCATACCATGTACCTAGTCCACACCTCTCGATTTACCTGTTGGGCTGCTAACACAAGGTCAGCAGTTTGAACCTAGCAGCTGTTCCGTGGGGGAAAGATGAGGCTGTCTGTTCCTATAAAGCTTCGCAGTCTTGGAAACCCTCAGGGGCAGTTCTACTCTGTCCTCCAGGGTCAGAATTGACTCCGTGGCAATGGTTTGGTTTGGGAAATGTCTCTTTTAGAGCATGGATTCCTGATTGCACTCGGTGTTTTGAATCTGTCTTTAGGTGGAGGGCAGTTCAAGGGTGGAGAATTCCTTTCTGCATCCTCTGTGCCCGCGCAGAATCCGATGGCCTGAGGAGTTAGTGAGACACACCTCCAGAAACACATATGAAATTTACAGACTCTTCTCACCAACTACGGACAGTCAGTGGCCCAGCTGCTGACCCCATCCCTTAGCCTCAAACCGGTTTTGCTAAAATGGACTTATCTTGGATCTTGCTTTGGTCTCACTAACTGGTCTCATTGACCTTGGGCCTCAGTTTCCCCACCCACAAAATGAAGAGATTGATGTCAATGGCTTGTAAGCTTCTTCCCCTTTGAGGCTCCGATCATCTTTTTCTCTCCTGAATGATGGCCACTGCTTCCTAATTGTATTCCTGGTCCCTAACTTACCCGTCACTTTTTCTTTCTTTCTTTCTATACTGACATGGGGAGTGAGCGTTCAGTTTTACCTGATTCGTCTCCGGTGGTGGCCTTTAGTTTTGTCGAAGCTGTCCGTCGTTGACGAGCTGACATGAAAAACTCATTTTCATGCTGTCTTACCAATCATTTTTGTCCCCTTGAAAGTTTACGGATTTTAGGTTTGGGGGAATCCTTCCCTGGATCATCACAAATTTCTACTGTATTTTCTTCCACTACTCTTTTAAAAAAATAATTTTATTGGGGGCTCTTACAATTCTGGCTACAATCCACACATCAATTGTATCCGACATATTAGTACATATACACCCTTGGTCTTTTCTAGACATTTGCTTTCCATTGAGCCCTTGGGATCAGCTCCTCTTTTTCCCCCTCCCTCCCCCCAAGCCCTCATGGCCCCTTGATAGCTTGTAGATTATTAATTATTTACAAATCTCACACTGTCTTCCTTCCCCTCTGGCTTCTGATGTTCTCCCCCCCTGGATGGGGGTGTGTGGTTATGTACCATTCACTGCAATCGGTGCCTTCTTCCACTACTTTTAGTGTTATCTTTACATTTACATATTTAATCACACTTTACTTTACTTGTCTTGTAAAGTAGGGACTGGATTTTACTTTGCTTCCCACACCGAGACAATTTCTCAAGCCTATTTTCTAGAAAAACCTAACCATTCTGTACTGATGTGTGACGCTACCTCCATCGTATGCCCATCCAACATATGCCATATGTTCTTATAAACACACGGTGCGTGGCAGACACATACAGAGGCTTACTGAGATGCGTCCTAGTCTACTTTACCTGCTGGTGGAGTTACAGAGCATTAGGGCTGGGCTCACCACTGTCTGGAACAGACTGCCTTCCCCAGGCCTGCGTGCGGCTTCATAGGCAAAGGTGACTGTGTTCTGACCAATGACATATAAGTAGGAGTGGTGTGGGCAGCTTCTGGGATGTGTCCTTTCAATGAGAGGGTCTTGTCCATCCTCCTTTTCCTCCTCCTTTCTGGCTGGAAGATGCATGTAAGGGCAGGAACTGCAGCAGCCACCTTGGGCTGTGGAGTGGAGGCCAGAGCTCCTCCCAGTGGCGCAGGGAGATGAGGAAGGCGCGTCCGTCCGTAATGCTGCTGGGCTACCGCAGCCCACATCCTCTACCTCCAACCATAGGGTGGACCCAAGGGCCTTTGCGTACGGTTCTGTTATTTTGGCCTTTCTCACACTCATGCCGAGCCTGATGATCATTTCAGAAGTTAGTGTCTGAACTTGTATGCATCCTTGTGCCAGCAGCCCAGACCGAGAGACGTGGGGTTTCCCTAAGGTAACACAGTGTCCTTTATGTTGTTGTTCCTGGGTGGAGAGTGTCTTGGCCATTTCTAAGCCTTGATTCTATCATCAATGGTAGGTATGGCGTTCTTTCTCAGACGCGCTGACAGGAAGTCCTCTCCCTTTACACGTGAAGGGGGTAGTGAGCGTGACTTTGGCACCATGTGCATTTGTCCCATCCCAGGACGTGGTCAGAGGGAGTCACGTAAAATGAAAATCTGATTGGGCTCCTTGTGTGCTTGACATCTTCCCAGGCCTGCTCTGTGCCTCTCGATGAAGCAGAGAGTCTTACCCCTCTTTCTCCAAGGGTCAGCTGCCCAGGCCAATGGCTTTCACTTCTTTCTCCCGTTTCTCCCACCCTTTGCTCAAGCCACAATGAATTCCCTCTCCGATTCCTCTGCTCTTTGGCACATGCTATAACCTCGGCCTACAGTGTTCTCCTACAGGACACAGGGAGCTCGTCCCCGGACCTGTGTGAGCCTCAGGGGCTGCCTTTCCTGAGTCAGCCTCACCGACTGTGGAGTGAGGTGACTCTTTGCTGAGTGCACACAGCATCCGGGGCTCCCCTCTGTGAGGGCACTACCCATGCCACACCTTGGCCACCGTGCCCACATGTGTGGTCTAGGCAGCCCAGATGCCTAGCTAGCACAGTGACAGGCAGGCTGTGTGTGGACGTGTGTGGACTGACCCTTCTGACTGGCTGAGCACAAATCAGCCTTCATGATTTGAAGCATGCGCTCCTCTCTCCCCAGCCCCCCAGCCCCGGGAAGCCTCTGAGTCTGCTCACCACTTTGGATGTTGAGGGCATGGTGTTGGTCCAGGCTCCACCCGCCGAGCTTGGAAGCGTCGATCTCGTAGCCCTGCAGCACCGCGGTCCGTTTTTCCCACAGGATCAGATCCGGGCATGATTCATACTCGTAACCCACGGAGACTGGAGGGAAGGAAAGCGGCAGTATGCATCCGTGAGCACGGCCTTCTCTTCGGACTCGAGTCTTGGAGGCAAGGACACCCCTGCCCCCCCACCTGCTTGTCATGTGTGGAAGAGGGAAAAAGGGCATTGTTTTTCTTCGTAGCAATTAGACCTGGGTAAAATACTAACACAGAGTTCTAGCCTTAATATTATGTTTTTTGGGGGGTTGGGGTCGGTAGATTATATATTCTGAAAAATGTAAAAAGTAAAGTAGTAAAAAGTGTAAAAGGGCCCAGGTGAATTTGCTCTTGGGAAATAATCTTTAGCATGGAAACTATTTGATGCACAACATCCTCCTGCAGCATTATTGTTCCTGGCCGGTGTGGGGTGGGGGTGGTGGGGTGGGGAACTCGCAGCCATCCACAAGTTCAAGGGATGGGCGCGCTAAAGACAACTCCAGTGCAGCCCTGCCAAGAATGGGCATGATAGTTATGAAGATCTCGGGGTGTCAGGGCAAGAATTTAGGGCATGATTCTACGTTGAAGAGCCTGGGCATATAGCGTATTGGATCTGTGTGTTTAAAAAACTGTGTTAAAAAAAAAAGAAAGACTCAAATAGTAACAGGTGGTTGGTGATTTACTGGTGGTCTAGGAACACCAATGACTCTCCCCATCCCCCCACTGTTTTTCTGCCCATCGTTCGATATGCTATGAATGATTTAGTATTTAAATATTTCATTTAAAGGCCAGACCCTCTAAATAACTTATCAGGAATACAGAGAAAAGGAGCTCGGTTGAGGGCACTTTAGAACCTGGGCGTTAGTTTGCATTCTCCAAGTTGGGGAATCTCCTGACTCCGCTCTATTTTGGGAACCGAGGTCTCCTTTGAGGCCCAAGACTGGGCTGTGAGGAGACCCACCCAGGGACTGAACCTGCAGAGGCAGGCAAGCTAGTCCTTCGACGTCTCTTCTGTGCAGGCACTCAGCTCCAGGGAGGCACTAGGTTCCACGCTCAAGACAAGAATTCACAACTGGGCAGCCCCTTAAACAGCTTCTTCCTATGGGTCCTAAAGGACGGCTGACTGTCTATGGCAGGAGAGGGATGTGGCGAGGTGGTGTCCTTGTGACCGTCAGCTCCTTTACCCACCAGCGTGTTTCCTACATGGTCTCAGGACAGGGAGCCTCAGACCTTGACGTCTCACTGCTGCCACACTTCCTCTGAACACATTAGTGGACATGGGTGTACCCACTGCTTCTGAAGAGGTTATAAGGCTTCTCTCTCTTCCCTCTCCTCTCCTTACGCTCTCTCGCTCAGAGGCGATGGAGTGGTTTGGTCTATAGAGGACTGTGGGCACTGAGGAGATGGCACCATTGTTCCCAAGGGCCCTTGTTAGATAAAGCGAGGACACAAACCCAACAGGGAAGACCAGGCATAAACCCAGAGACTTGGGGGCACAGTGGTTACGTGTTGGGCTGCTAACTGCAAGGTCAGCAGTTTGAAACCACCAGCCATCCTGTGGGAGAAAGATAAGGTTCTCTATTCCTGTAGAGTTACGTCTCAGAACCCCCCTGGGACAAACCCTACTCTGTCCTACGGGGACGCCATGCGTTGGAATGATGTGATGGCAGTTTGTCTGGGACGTACAGCCAGCTGTTCCTCTCTAGCTGACTCTCCTTGGGAAGTCCCCTCACCTCTGCCAGCTTCCCCTTCTCCCACGGTTATAACACTTCCTGACTCACAGGGTCACCGTGAGAATTAACCGAGAGAATGTCCTGGGAGCTCAGGGGACACTCTTGCACTCCTCCCTCCCCTTTATCTCTCACTCTGCCTTTTCACAGACCGGGAAAGGGAAGGAACATGGAGCCGGGTTCAAGATGGGAAGAGGTTTTGCCAGGATGCTCCTCCTCGTCGCTGTGCTTGAAGAGTTAGGGCTGCGCCCAGACCAGCTCTGAACCTGCTCCAATCCTGGGGCTGAAAGAGTCCTCTCACACCTTGGTATTCCCAGGAAGAAATTGGGGTCGAGTCACCCCTGCCCTCTGCTCCCCAACCTCCCCCCAAACTGTCTTCAGGCTGGTGCTGAATCTTGAGGCTGGGGTCACTTACCAAAGGCTTCTGAGAGCCCGAACACCTTCTGGTTGTAGACATCTGTCTTGTCCCAGATGAAATAGTAGGACAGGTCCGGGGCTGCGGCAAACCACTTCCTGAAGAGGCGCCCCTCCACTGCCACCATGAGGTGGACCTTCATGAGGTTGAAGGGGATGGTAGGGTGGGTGAGGCTGATGCGCAGGACGGATTTGTAGCCAGGGGTCCGGCTGCTCAGGTAGCTCAGCCTCATCTTACAGCCAGGGATGACGATTTCCTCCCGCAGAGCCTAGAGAGTGCAGACAGGTCACAGCACAGGGTCAGCACCTGCTCTCTGGTGTTCAAGAAACAAAGGGAAGACGGGCAATTGGGAGAGAAGCAGTGCCTCTTGCCGAAGCAGAGGTGCCCATCTCAGGAAACGTCTGGAAAGAAAGTTTCTTCATGGGACCCCAAATTCCTGGACCAGCCCCCCATCAGCACCGGTCATGTCTTAGGTGCCCTGGTGGTACAGCAGTTCAGTGTTTGACGACTAACTGAAAGGTGAATGGTCAGAAAAAAGGCCTGACGCCATGTGCCCGAAAGAGTACAGCCAAGACAACGCTCTGAGGCGGTTCTGTGCGGTCACATGGTGTCATGAAGGGTCAAAATGGACGTGCTGGCGTCCGTCCGGTAGCAACCTCATTGTGTGCCAGACATTCTATCGATGTGAACTTACTTTGTCCTCCAGGAGGAAGGTGAGGAAGCGGAGCATGAAGGGAAAGGGGAGAGGAGGAGGGAGAGAAGGGAGTGGGGGAGGAGCACGTCTGGTGGAATTCTGGGTAATCCCTTCACCTTGCAGATCCTTAGCACCCTCCACTGTGCACAGCAGGGATGAACCGCTTGTTTTGTTACATAATTGAGAAAAATGCAAAAGGAAAAACCAAACCAAACTTGTTCCTGTTAAGTCAATGCTGATGCATAGCGACCCTGTCACTGTTGACGGGAGTAGAAAGCCCAGTCTTTCTCTCACGGAGCTGCTGGTGGTTTCGAACTGCCGACCATGAGGATCGCAGCCTAACCCATAACACTACCCACCGGGCTCCCTGGATAAGAAAAGGCAGGTGCTAAGTCTGGCATAAGGCAGCCTCTCAGTTATTCACTGCGTCATATAACCTGAGCGCTCTGACTCCTTGCGTCACTGGGAGGCCTGAGCGGTGCTGTCGGTGGATGTCTGACTTACAGTGACATCCACAGGGGATCAGGCAGAACTGCCCCGGAGGGTTTCCCAAGTTGTAACCCGCACAGGAGTGGTTTGCCAGGACTTGATCCCCTCCAGCTGCGGGTGGGTTCGAGCCACCCACCTTTTAGTTAGTAGTCAAGTCCTTAACCTTTGTGCCACCAGGAATCTCCATGAGGACTGAATAAGGTCGCATATGTAAAGCGCGTGGCGCCTGCTGGTGCTAGTGCAGCTGAGTTGGCTCTGATCCACAGTGACCCCAGGTACCAGAGAACGCAACACCGCCTCGTCTGTGTGCCATCCTCACGGTTGTTCTTATGTTTGGCCCCGTGTTTGGGTGCCAACATAATAGAGACGGAAAAATATCCCGTGGTGGTGGTGGTGGTGACAGTGCTGATGGGGTACGATGGAGAAGGGCCTTTCCACCCCACAAGACTATGGATATCTGTGTTTAAGCAAGAAGGATCGTTTCTCTCTCACAACTTTCCTGAAGCCCTTTCTCAGGTGGTGCGTCTTTGCAAGGCGAGCCTATGAGATGTTGACAGACAACCGCTTATGCAGAGTTGGGAGCACAGTCTGCCAGGGAGCTCGGTGGGGCTAGAGCTCCTCCACAGACAAGTGTCGGATTGGCTGCATGTTTCCATGAGCACCCGGCTGCAGGATCGGCTGAGACCAACGAATGGTAGCGGGAGAAGGCAGGCTTTATCTACCTGCTGCGATGGGCTTCTCCCTGAGATGGGAGTTCTAAGTCAACGCCAGGAGGCTCAGGCCCACAGCCCAAACAGGGCACTTTTATCAGCCGGAGGCTCTGGGTGCCCTTTCCAGCGAGGAATGTTGAGTCAATCGGAGGCTCCGGTGTCCTTGGAAGGGACAGTGATTGCTCTGCGCTGGCTTTCACAGAGGGGCTGGGCCTGGACACAGCAAGGCTTTTGCCCTCTGTCCATGTCACAGATGGGCATGCGTCATCCTCCCGGCTGCATCGCCATCTCCTACGAGGGTCTAGGGGTTGGGTTTACAGGAAGCAACCTCTCCAAGTGGCAGCTTACAAGTCCCTCTGGGCCCCTGGTGAAGCAAAGGCAGGGCCGACAGTGCCACCTGCACACGCTTGGGTTCACCTGGGGAAATGTACCCTTTTCAAGGTACAGCTCCCAGGACTTGCAAAGGCTAAGCAATGTGATGACTGGGTAGACCCAGGAGTTGGTTTTTATGCATGTCATGAATCGGGGAATAAGCGAGTCTCGTGTCCCAATGGTACTTGTAGCCACCCAGCCTGGGGAATACTGTCAAGGGGGTGGGACCTTCCACCTCATTTGCTCCACAGTCCCGGCTCCTGGGAAAAAAAACCCAAACCCGAACACCTAGCTGGGGGCTGAGTAACAAATCACTTGTCTCTGGCAAGCCCTGTCTCCACTGGCAACCAGTGCATAAGCATGGTCAGGTGGGCGGTGGCAACAGGAAGAAGCCCGCATCTCTGAACGGGAGCGAGGTTTCAGCCTGCGGGTCAACGAGAACTCCAAAACGGTTGTAGTTCATTCTCTCGGCTGTCGGCTGTCGTCAGGAGCAGCCCAACAGGGTAGGCACGAGAAACGTGTTTGCTTAGCCAGGCGTGAACTATACACACGGAGCTGTACACACTTCCCGCTCCACTGGCTCTGGCGGTCCATTCACATGCACATCGCCAGAGCTCTCATTAGGCCGGGCAATGCCCGGCCTTCTCCGCGGGCTTCTGCACTGACATCCCCCCTCCACGCTAGGCCTTCGCTTCTGCCATTACGAACAGGGTTGGGAATGGAGACAGGAATGCCGAGTGTGGCAGAGCTGTGTGAAGAGCAGAATCTCACTTGATTTCCATCAAGCTTAAGATACATCTTTCCCCATTATGTCTTCTTAATGATAATTAATAAGCAAGGAATGTGAGTACAGATTTGAGCCAGTGCAATTCTTAATTGGCAGGAAGGCAACATGTGTAAAAGAATCTTACTGTGTATGGGTTGGGATAACAGTTGTATGAGCCCCTAATAAAATGTTAAAAAAAAAAAAAAGAATCTCACTAACAATAGCTCTCATTTATTAAGCACTGACGAGGCATCCGGCATTGTAGTAAGTGCCCCGGCTCTATTTTTCTCACTGACTCCATCATGCTGCCCACTGTTTGGGACCCTCTGCTTTGTCCTCTTGATAGAACCTGGCACCGTGATGGCTTCATTTGTCTGATGTGTGTTGTTGCCACTGGTTGAGTTGATGCTGACTCGTGCCACCCTCCCACTCTGGGGGGCCAGAGCAGAGCTACTCGGTAGGGGTTCGCAAGGCTGGGACTCTTGGGGAGCAGACTGCCAAGCCAGAGGGTGCCTTGGGTGAGTGTGGCCCACTCATCTTTCAGTTTGCAGTCACATACTTGCTGCTATGCTCCACTCAGACTCTGGCAATCCATCCTTGTCACCCGAAGGGGTGAGGGAGACACCCGGAGGCCGGGGCAAGAAAAGGGGAAGTGAATTAGCTGGTAGAGTGGAGAAGGAGGCACTGGTTGCAGTCAGTGTGGGCCAGGCGGCTTCCTAGGGCGGGTAAGAGGGCGTGTAAGCCTTCACACCCTGATGCCAAGTTGGCTATGGCATTTGGCCACCAAGCCTTTGTGGTGAGGGGAGGGGGGCCTGACCCAGCCCCCGCAGAGGGGCTTTTTTCTCTTTCTCCCATCTCTGAGGTCAGAATCTTTCCCCAAACAGCCCTAGAAACGTGGAGAATGCAATGCAGACAAGCAGGGTACCTGAATTTCTGGGACAATGGGGCCTTTCTCCGCACAGGCACTGGCAAAGGACGTCAGTGGGGACGGAGCGACGACAGGGTTGGGGCGGGCGAAGCTGCTCAGGTCACAGCTGGGAATCTCATTCTCCTCGTGTCTCATGACGATGGTTTCCATGACAAAGAAGCGGTCCCACGGCAGCCACAGGGTGTGCTCCTGGGTGATGAAAGGCGCCCGCTCGAACCGCAGGATGATGGAGATGCCACCATTCGTGACCAAGTCAAAGCTGTTTGCGAGGGGAGGGGTGGGGGCAGAGGACCAGGGGGAGCAGAAAACAGAGGAGGGGGAAGGAGGAGAGAGCAACAGAGAAAAGAGAGAAGATTATACCCGAGGGGCTGAGGGCCTGTTGAGGCAGACTCTAAAACCGGAAAAGTTGAATGCAGTCACCAACAGTGACAGACAGTCCAGAAGGCACTTATTATTGGAAGAGCATTTGCCCTGGAGAATATGCTGACACAAATCCACACACGCTGCTACGGAGAGCCACTGGACAGCACCCAGGGCAGCAGAGACATCCTGGGCGATGGCGCTCCCAGTACTGTGGGCGTGTCACGATGTCAGGGCTCAGGCTGCGTGGAACCGTCAAAGGACTAGAAGGAGCGTTGCAGCGGGTGTGGGGAGCGTCCTGGAGCTCTGGCTCTGCCTGCGGCTGCTGCTTGATCTTGGGTGAGTGACCGAGCCCCGTGACGGCCCTCATTCTTTCCTTCTTTTTCTTCAATCTCTAAAATGCCCAGGTTCAACTGAATTCTAAAGTCACTGAGCGCCCACGACCCCATAGCCACTGTAACGCTGACTCACAAAGGCCTGTGGGAGTCTACCATCGCTCAGCACTTAGCCATGGCACAGTGAGAGCCACAGCCTGTTGGAAGTGAGGGGAGCACCAGAGGGCGGTGGGTCCCGCCCGAGCTGAGAGGCGATGACTGTGACAACAACACAGCCCCTGCTCCTCAGGCTCTGAGGATGGGGGGGTGGGGGTGGGGTGTCTTTGGAACAGCACCGGGTGGCCCTACTCCCACTTCCGTCTGCGGCTGGGGTCTCAGTCCCATGTCATCCTTGGTAACACACTCTTGGGTCTGTTTTGTAAAAGTGAATTTCAGCCCATCAGAGATTAGACACACAGTCCTCTTTGCTTTGCTCTAAAATCCCTTCTGCCCAAATAGGGCCCAGCCAGCAAGGTGACAGCAGCACTGTGTTGTGTTCCCGTACCCTATCCTATCACCTGCAGACAAGCCCAATAAGACCCTTGTTCATCCAAACTTTGGGCTCTCCGAGGAAGCTAAGTCCTAGTTTAAACCGCCCGGTTTTCTAGCACTGCCCAGCCCCACAGGGAGCCGCATCCGCTTGCTCTCCGGTTGCCTGCTCAGAGACCACAGCAGCTCCAGTGCCAGACAGAGGCAAGGACGCCCAGGTGGAGACCAAAGCCGGCAGGCCAGGTCCGATAGAATGCGCGCCTGCTACCCAGGACCTGGTCGCTACAAGATCTTAGACCAGACTTTTGTGTCCTCTCGCCTCACCCCTCTGAAAAAAAGAAAAAAAAAAAAATGCCAAACTGGAAAGTTTAAAGTCAAGAAAGAGGCAAAGCGTTGGGAGCATCTTTAGCAGTCATCTGATCTGCTCCCTGTGTCGTCTCCTCTGCAGACTCACCAAGCAGCCATTCGCTTCCAACTTCCACAGCTCCTGTGGGGAGGCGCTGGCCCTAAGAATGACCTTCTCTGAGAAAAAAGGTTAACTCCGAAGGTTGGACAACTGGGTTTTGGACTTGCGCCCCTCTTCTTAGATTCCTTTATTCCCAGGACCTAGGGGTCACACTGGTCTGTTCCCGCTGACCTTTGACAGTCCTTCAGGACAGAGAAACAGTGATCCTGTGCCTCTGTCACCCCCTGGGTGAGGCATCTCTTTGGCAACAATCCTTTTAGTCGCTATCCTACCTTTAGCGTGCATTTTCAAGAAGGGGCTCTCTACCCCTGTAAACAGTTACAGTCTTGGAAACTCACAGGGGTAGTTCCACCCGGCCCTATACAGTCACTGTGAGTCGGCATCAGCTCGATGACAGTGAGTTTGGGCTTGTTTAGGTCCTCAGTGTGCTTTTCTGGACGGAGGTCTCCTCCTACCAAGCTTGACAACCCATCGGCTACGTCCACGGGGAAGGAGCACACCAGCCTGTGTGAGTGAAGGTTTCTAAATGATAAAATCCAAGATCGGAGGAGGGAACTGTATTAGAGCTTAAATGCTGAGTACTCGGGCATGCCTGCCAGTGCAAGCTCAAAATCCATTTGTAGAGCCCCGCACAGATCATGCCTCTATCGAGCTGCCCAGACCACTGCCCAGGGAAGTGGGTCCTCTTGCTCTCTGACAGCATTGAAAAGTGGATCACTGCCGATATAGTAACACTGAGAACATTATTCTTTGTTTTCTCTTATGACCCACTTTTAATTGCTTATTTTCTACTCTGCTTTTTCTTGGATTGACATTTTTCTGTGTTTTATTTTGTTGGAGTTGGGGTTTGGGGTGTGATTTCCTTTCTATTAAATCTAGGCTAGGTAATCATAGAGACAACAAGTAGACTAATAGCTCTTTAGGGTTATGGCTGGAGAGGATGGGGGAAATGGGCAGCTAATAATAACAGGTACAAGAATGAGGAAAATGTGCGAAAATTGAGTGCGGTGTGATTTCACAACTCTTTTTTAATACAATTAAACCATTGACTTTCATGATATGTGAATTACATGCCTTTACAACTGTTACACACACACACACACATACACACACACACACACACACACACACACCAAACTTGGACAACCCAAATTTCACCTCCTCCTCAGCAAGCTTACCCAGCTCAGAACCTAGGTCCTTCTCCAGGGTTCCCACGACACCACGCACTCCCTCTCATAGCCCACGTCACCTTCCACTGTCATGGTTCCTTTAGCTCTCCCACCTGCGGAGATGGTCTGACGCCTCTCAGATTTCCCAGAACCTAGCCCCGTGGTTGAAGGTTAAAGTTCGGAGAAGGCATGCAAGAGGGACAGTGCTGGCGTCTTCTAGGGTGACTGTCCGCCACACCCTCTAAAACCCTTCTTCTTTGGGCTGCAAGTCCACCCAGTGTTCGCTTGCTCTGTTCGTTTTTGGAATCTCGGTGCAGGCCCCGCCTTTATGCCCGATCGAATCCACCGAATCCAATGGTTAGACCCATTGCTCCAGCTGGCTTCTCCCTCCTCCAGAAACACTGCAAGGATTTGGAACTGAACTTTCCCGTCTTGGAACCAAATCCTGTTCTGGCATGACGGCACACCCAGACTCAGGTTCCCAAGCTCCAGAGCCCAACTCTTCTCCCCAGCCCTTGGCCCCTCACTCCGGCCTTTCTGAGCCTGGGCTTCGGCAGGGGTGCTGTGCCAGGTGGAGGGACACCAGGGGGATGGTTTATCTTGAACAAGACTTTAGGGTTGGCCTGCCAGGAGGCCATCTAGGGTTTGTGGGGAAGCACCCAGGGAACAACTTTTCTGCCACAGAACGGAATGGCATCAGTGCTCCGGCAGGTTTTGTTGTTTTTGACAGAACATTTGATAGAGCTGTCACAGAGCGTTTGGGCCTACTTGACAAGCCCCCTTGATGTGGAGCTGCATGGGGGAGGGAGGGCTCACACATGGAGCCAGGCTCAAGGCCCTCAGCAAGCTGGGGGCAGCTGGCCTTGCCAAGAACGGAGATTCAATGGGCTGGGGCCAGGTCTGCTCATGCAGAGGGGAACGCGAGCTGTGGATATGGATGGTGACTCTGACTCAAAGGGGAGGCCAGGGCTCAGATGATGATGCTCCCAAAGCTGAGGGCCACCTGAGCACGCTTCTCGCTCCATGGGGGGCGGCGGCTGCACTTCGCGTCTCGGAACGTCCACTTCCTCATTTGGAAAACGATATGGGTGATTCCAGTCATTTGGCACGGTTATTAATCAGATAGATGGGATAATGAACAGACAAAGTACCAGGCCCCACAAATCCCCCGAGCAGCATGCTCTGTCTAATCCCAGTGTTGATGCAACGAGCCTGAACAGCATCTCTTGTCTGCTGTTCTTTTAATTTTTCTTCATGATGTCTCTTTCCAGCTTTTAAACGATCTCTTTGGCACAATTCTCTGCAACTGTATGCTGTTTATGAGCCTGTTAAGGCTTGAGGACTGGCATTCAGCAAGGGGGTTGTGTGTGTGTGTGTGTGTGTGTGTCTGTGGATGGGGGTAGGCAGACGGGATCCTGGGTCAGGGTAATGGAAAGGGAGGAATATAGTTCCTATATTTATAAACCTGCTGCCAATCCTGGGATCTCCCAAACTCACTGCCACAGAGTTGATGTCAACTCATAGCAACCCTATGGGACAAGGCAGACCTGCCCCTGTGGGTTTCCACGACTGGAACTCTTTATGGGAGTAGAAAGCTCCTTGTTCTCCTGAGGACCTGAGGTGGTTTTTAATTGCTGACCTTGTGGTGGACAGCCCAGCTCTCAACCACTATAACACCAGGCCCCTGTGATCTCCAGCCTATACTCATCGCCCTACAATTTCTCCTGGGGTGTGAAGTGCGGAGAACAACAACAACACAGCAGCAGCAACAACAAATCAGCCAGGAATGATGGGGAGGGAAGTGGACACGGTGCCGTTCAACTCTAACAAAGAGGGATTTTCAGACACCAAGAGACCAAGCCTTGCCTTTCTCGTGCATTGAGCTCTGCCTCGTTGGAAAGGGCGTGGAACCTCATCAGGAGTTCCGAAACTCAAGCACCAGCGGGTTGCAGTTGTAGCCACTCTGACTTCAGTTAGGAAGCAGGGGGAGGAGGCATGGCTGATACACACTTCCTAGGATTCCGCGGCTCTTACGGAACAGCAGAAATTACAAGGTGGGGGTGGGGGAACCATCACAGCCGATTTTCTCAGGGACACCAAAGTTTCGCCAGACTCTGGTGTGCCTTATGGATGCCCCCTAACCAAGCCGAGGAGGGCACGGGGACTACCAGTTTGCGGATTCACAGGAGCCACTGGGAAGTTGGATAGCAAAAAAAAAAAAAGGGTGGTGGTGATGTCTGTTTTCTGATGATGGTTTTGTAGCAGGTAGTACTGTTGTCAGCATGCCGCTGCCTGGGAGGCTCACATCTGCTACTTCCCGGACAGCAACGCAGCATGACCATGGCCGTCCCTTCACGCTGCAGCCAGGGGCTTCCTGGGACGGACAGGGTCTGGGGGTGTGCAGGGCAGGGAGCTGCGGACTGGCCGTGCCAGCTCACCCCCGAGGACTGGCCACCAGCCTCTTCTGACTGGGCCCTTCCCCGTTGAAATGAAACGGGAGGAGGGGAGGAGAGAGGGTGCCCCAAGCCAAACATGCCAGCCCTGTCTGAGAGGCACACGTGTCTACAAACAGCCGCGCCTCTACTTCATTATCACCTCGGCCCGGCCGGGCTCACATCCGATATTGGATTAAAGAGGTGCTAAAATCAATCATCCTGAAGCATCATTTCCAGCACGGAGTGAAAATCAACCTTCTGGGCCCACACTTAGCCAGATGGACCGCCACCACCTGGTTTTATTAAAAGCTGAGGGCGTGTCACCACTCGCCGCTGAAATATTCTACTGTCTCTGCCCCCTTGCTCCAAAACGCTCTCATTGCCTGTCCTGCAACCACCGCCAGCTTCTCATCACGGAGCAATTTGTCACTGTCTTTGTAATCAACAGCTAATACTTAGTGTGTACTTACCATGCGGCGGACCCTAGAAAGAACCAGTGGGGAGCAGGCACTGACAGCTCCTAAGCACCTACTAGGTGAAAGTACATCCCCATCCATCCACTCAGCTCATTCTCACCCCCAGTTGCAAGAAAGAGCATCTTCGGGCCCTTGAGCAGATGAGTGACGTGAAGCTTAGGCAGGGGAGGAGACTTGTTCAAGGGCCACTGAACTAGCAACGATGAGAGCTGGGCTGCGCTAGCCACCAGGCTCCTTCCCATTGGTAGTTCTCAGAGGAAGGGAAACACCAGAGTTCTGCCATCCTCTAACAGTAGGCTGACAGTCATTTTCACAGGCCAAGTGGGTGCAGGACGGAAGACACACAGTGGGGGTGGTTAAGATGTCTGGAACAGTCATGGTCTCTAGAAGGTAGTCCTTATGCCATCAGCGGTGATGTAGGACAATAGGACCCTGTGGGTCCTCCGAGAACCAAATGGGACAGAAACAAAACAAAACAGCCCAAGGGGATTGAAGCCAGAGTCAGACGGGTCCCGCAGAGCTGGCCATCCGGTCCTCTGAATCCACCGCCGCCCCCTGTCCCATATCACTCCTCCAGCAGCAAGGCCAGCAGAGGATGGAGGCCAGGATAGCGGCCTCTTGCTCCACACAAGGTCTCCTACCTGCCATCCTGCCGACTGATGGTGTACCCAAAGAGAGGGCGACTGACGAAACTGATGTTCACACCCACCAGCGGGGTCCCATCCGATGTCATTACTTGACCACGAATGACGCACGCGTGCCTGCGGGGAGAGAGGAGGGAATAATGTGATCACCAGAGGACAGAAGGCAGCTCAGACAGACACATCTCGGGTCCAGGGCCTTATCACGTTCACTCAAGATAAGCAATGACTTTTTTCCCCCCTTTGACTGTATTGCCTTACATTAAGACATCCCTGCTCCCTCCAGAGAACTTGTTAGGAGATGTGTCCTGTCATAGGCAGATAAAGCTGACCCAGCTGGGCAGTGGAGTGTGGTGAGGAAGGTGAATTTTAGAGTCAGGTGACTGGGGTGCAAATCCCAGTTCTGTCACGTCCTAGCTCCCTGAGCACGTGTTCCTTTGGGTCTAGAAGCAGCTCCACAAAGTGCCACAGTGCTGTCATCAGTCACCCACAGTTTCCATGGCAGTGCATAGTCAAGAAAGGAACAGGCGCAGAGTACTCCTCCTGCTGGCATTAGAGAAGGAGAAGGGCAGGAGAGTGTGACCGCTCCCCAGAGCCCCTCAGACGGAACTTGCCCTTTGGCTTTTACCCTCTATTCCTGAAAACAAACCACCGGTTTCCCCCAGACTCGCCTTGGAGACCAAGGCTGAGGTTTGCTTTCTTCCCTCCGGTTTGTGGAATATGCCTAACAAGCAGTCTGTTATTGTTTTCTTGTTCAAGGTCAATCCGGCAGATACGTAGGGACACTTAGAGATCAACTGAGCGTTCGCAGACAAACCCTTTTCAGCGGTGGCATTTCATGAGGCCTGTAAGATGGGCATGTTATCAGGAAGGATCAGTCCCTGGAGAAGGACATCAGGCTTGGCGAAGCCGCAGGTCAGTAAAAAAAAGAGGAAGATGCTCACCGAGATGGAGTGACACAGTGGCTAAGACAACGGCCCAGACACAGAACGACTGTGAGGTGGCTGGGGGGTGGGGCGCGATTACTCAGAGCCGACTTGACTGCATGGAAGCCGGAGCAGCAGCAGCAGGAGGAGGAGTAAGACAAAACAAGATCTGTTCGGGGTGAAGAAAGGTGGGGACTCCTTCTCCCTCCATGGTGCCTCAAGTGACAACAGTGCGGAATGTCAATCTTTGGAGTCTGGAGATCTGGGAAATCTCTGAATCAGCAGAGCCCTCTCGCTTTCCCGAGAGGATGCTGCAGTCCGGAGAGGCTAGGTTATCTGCCTGGCCACCCATGGCGCCCTCAGCCCTTGAACGGCGGCTCTCAATGAGTCATCTGTCACAGCAGCCAATGGACAGGTAGAAGCTCACGGGAGTAAAAGTCCTAAGGGACTGGGACACCAGGGCGAAACTGCTCATTGACAGATCTCAAGGGAAATAGACGGTCTGCTGTCTGTTAGCTTTCTCCATCAACCTAGGGAAGAGCTACCTCAGATAAGCTCATGGGCTTTCGTGAAAAGAAGGAGCTGTAACTCTGTCCCAGCTTCACGAGGGTCTCCCATCTCTCCCTTCCGGGAGTGATAAACTTTTCTCTGTTTGACGAGAAAAGCAATTAACACCAGGCTTGTAAGCAGCTGGCCCGCTAGTGTCAGCTTGTCCTTCCAGAAGGCAAGAACTACCCACAATGCACCAAGCTCATCGCCCCCTCCCCACCTCACCTCACTCCATACAATCCGGTTAATGCTAATTCAGTCAGTGGTTTCCTTCCGAGGCCCTTGGTCTAAATGCAATTACATAGCAAACAAGTTAAGCGGGCGCAGCTCAGCGAAGACCCTCAGTCCTGCTCTGAAGGTCTCCCAATATATTTATGTGAAATGATCTCTCTGCTAATGGGAAAGATTTATTCCAGCAATTGTATTCAGATGGTACAGAGAGATGCTTTCTTTAATGGAAGAAAATTGAATTTCTTATTGCTGGAACTTTGTCCTTCTAGAGAATTACTAACAGATCCCACCCTCTGGGCGCTGGCTCCCCTCCAGCCTTCCCCCGACACACGTGCCTTCAGAGGCTGCCTGGAAGACCACCAGCTCCCTGAGGACGAGCCCCTGTGGGGGCTGCCCTGGCTGCTGCCCTCCACGTACATGTACACGTGGGGTCGCCTCCTCTGATTTACTGCTATGTGGGGGTTTCCTGATCATTGGAAAACACTAAATCAGGGCTGCGTGGCCTCTCCCTCAGCAAGCCAGAACAGCTGTAAATTTAGCCCCCTCCCTGGTTGCTGGAGATGCTGGGGCAGATTAAGCTGACTCCCTGTGCCCCCGCAGGCCAGGAGGCCTCTTGCCAAAATAGGCATTTGGCTCGGGGAACAAATCCTTCCATCCTCCTCTGTCTCCAGTTGCCAGGAAAGCCCAGTTACACACACACACACACACACACACACACGGCCAGCAGCAGTGGCGTGCTGGTGGCTGTGTAAGCGCTGGCTTAGAGAGAAAAGACGGGCCGCCTTCATCTGTGGTGGCGGTGGTGTAAGCTGCCATCTTGCCGGTCCCGATACACAGTGACCCTCAGCACGACCCTGCCAGGTCCCGTCCGTCCGTCCTCACAACTGTTCTCAGGGTTGAGCCCACCGCTGAGGCCACCGTGTCAATCCCGCAGGCCTTCGCCTGTCATGTTTTCCCATTTCTGTGGTGAGGGTGGCCCCGGGCCGGGAGCGTGTGTAGGGCTGAGGTGCACGGATTCGCTGAGTTGGAACCAACTTGGCGCCCCTTAGTAGCAACCACAATGACGTGATTGTGTATTTCCACCGTGAAGATACAATACACCCTAAACCAGCGGTTCTCAACCTGTGGGTCGCAACCCCTTTGGGGGGGGGGTGAATGACCCTTTCACAGGGGTTTCCTGATTCATAACAGAAGCAAAATTACAGTTATGAAGTAGAAACGAAAATAATGTTAATGGTTGGGGGGTCACCACGACACGAGGAACTGTATTAAAGGGTGATGGCATTAGGAAGGTTGAGAACCACTGCCCTTGAGTTGAATTCTGACTCAGAGAGCCTATTCCAGGGCAGAATAGATCCCTGGAGGTGTAGTGGGTTATGTGTTAAAGTCCGTAGTTTGAAACCACTGGTCTCCTGTAAAGAATTCCAGTCTCAGAAACTCACAGGGACAGTTCTACCCTGTCTTATAGGGTCACTGTGAGTTGGCATCAAGTCATTGGCAGTGAGAGATGAGTTTTGGATCACCGTTGCTTAAAGAATGTGAATTTTTTCCTGTAATTTAATTTTTAATAAGGATCATGTCTAACAACCAGCTTGGAAGATTCCTGAACACTGACATAGTCAGTTCTGATGAGCTTGCATGAGCCAGCTTCTGCATCTCCCTGGATCAAGGGGTCCAAATTAGGGACCAAGCACTTGCTCAGTGTCGAGGACATGGTAAAGGCATGACTGCGATTTGTGACAACCCATCACGGAAGACTGCCTCGGGGAGAAGCCACTACAATGGGGGAACAAACCACTGTGACCGACTTGGCTCTCAGCTGGCTCACACCGCCTTCTCCCCACGAGTCCTATGTCTGAGTGTTTGTTTTCCGGGCACTGTGCTGGTTTCTTCTCAGCCACAGGGTCTCATCTACGCTGCTGTCACCGCAGCAATGTGGTCACCAGTGCCTCCTGCCAAATTAGCCGCCTCTCCTCTGGGATTCCTTACACCTTAGGAGCACCTCTCTAGGGCGGAGGCCATATATTGCTCCCAGGCAGCCCTAGTGGTGTAGCTGGCTAGGCACTGAGCTGCTCATCACAAGGTCTGTGGTTCAAATCCACAGGCTTCCAAGTCTTTCCTCTTTGATGGTGTTGGATACCTGCAGTCACAAAGGAAAAACTTGACTTGAATTCAGTGAACTT